AATGGCAGCAAAATATACTTAGGACAGTGAAACAAGGAAGAGCACAGGAGAACAACAGGAGAACCTAGGCTGGGCTGCTTTGGCTCACTGAGGAGTCAGAGAGAAGCGGGCCTTGGAGACAGGTGCAGGGGATTACCCCAGGATGAGCTGCCGCTGCCCACTGCTCCCCTCGGTGCAAGTGTCCTGGGGTCCCTTTGGAGGGATGGAGATGGGGCTCCTGTGCTCAGCCTAGTGGAGAGCTAGGCGCTGAGTCCTTTGCCCTGAGCCTGTTTCTCTCTCTCCTGCAGGAGGAAATCTTAGGGGAGGTCTCAGGGCAGTGTCTCAACAGAATATTCATCAGCTCTCCAGGTGTGCTCTTTCAGGGTCGAGGTCTGCCCTGACTTGGTGCCAGGGCAGGGGATCATTTGTCAATGTATCTGGTCCGGAGGCAGCCACAGGTGTCACTTGTTTGGTTTTGCTGCTTTCCTGGGCCTGGAGCTGAAATACAACTGAGGCCTAAAGGTTTTTTTTTAGGGAGGAAATGCTTAAGGGGTCTAAACTGCATGACCTGTGATATTCTGGGGGAGGACAGTTTACCCTGGGGACAAGGTTCTTGTTTTCCCAGTTTTGCCCCTTGTTAGGCATCCGGGGCTTTCTGCCCTTGTGAGTCTCTGTACCTGGCCCATCGTTCCTTGCTCTGCTCATGTCTAACAGATTGTAAGACCCTTTTCTTTCTTCTTGGGCTTTGTGTACATTGAAGGTGACAGTCCATTTTTCGATGATTTCAACATACAGCTCACCCCCACCTCAGCTGAACATCTCACTCTTCCAGCTCAATTCTCAGTAAGCAAGATAGAAACATATAAAGCAGCCTGTGTGGTAGAAGATGGGTACTATTTGAAGTCAGCCACACTTGGGTTCCAGTCCCAGCCTCACTTCTTGCTGCGAGCAGTGTAACCCTCAGTTTACTCAGCTACAAAATGAGGAATCCAGTTCCCAGGGGGTTGTGAGGATTCCATGAAATGCTTGTGGAAAGCTCTTTTCACACTACAAAGTGCACTTCTCATCTCAGTGCCCAAGCTGGCAGTACATATTGAGTAGCTAAAGGATTGGTCCTTGTCTGTAAAATTAACTTTTTAAAAAATATATATCTTTATTGATTTCAGAGAGAGGAAAGGAGAGGGAGAGAGAGAGACAGAAACATCAATGATGAGAGAGTCATTGATCAAGCCTGCAACCCGGCGTGTGCCCTGACCGGGAATCGAACCCCAATCGCCTGTATCCTAGGTCGACACTCAACCGATGAGCCACGCCCGGCCAGGCTGTAAAATTAACTTTTAAAAAGACTGAATTGGGTGCCCCTCTGGCAGTCTGCTTTAGCCTTGAGGACAGATAACATTTATCAAGCTCCCGCTATGTGCCAGGTACCCTGGAAGTGCTAAAATGAATGAACCCAGGAGGTGTTGCTGTGTCACCCCATTTCACAGATGAAGGAAACAAGTCACTGAGGGGCTGAGTAATGTGCCTAGGATTCCAGGGCAGCAGTCTGCCGGAGCCCTGTGTTCTTTACCACCACGTTAAGTAGCAGTTGTCTGTGACTTGTCTGTTTCTATCATTAGAGACAGAGATCAAGGAGTGCCTGGAAAAGCAGGCGCCGAAGAACCATTTGTTGAATGAGGTGTTTGGTGCAGAGTGCCTGGCATACAACCAGCCCTCCTCTGCCGAATGAAGAGCAGAGCCCAGGAGCCCCACGTGGAAAAGGGGTGATGAAAAGTCATCCTTATTGATGGATGGGATCATTGAAGCGTAGCCAGGGCATTTGTACTTTTTCAACAGATTCAAGAATCTCACAGCTTTGTCTTCTCATGGGCTCATTAAAGTGCCTTGAGGACTAAAAACAAATGACTGCAAAACCAAGCAAATAGCAGAGAAAAAAACTGACCTTTAACCCAGCCCACCTGGTGACCTCAGTGTGGGCTGACAACTCACCTGGTCTCCAAGGAATTTCAAAAATCTGGCCCAGCACCAACTAAAAACCCATAAAGAGATAAAGGGGATTATGAAGCCTAATAGGGAGTGCAGGTCTTTTTTATCTGGGGTAGAAAAGCCGAGGGAGGGTCTCGGGCCTTTTTGCTCCACCTGAGACTCACAGGAGTCCAACTTCATAGCCAGAGAGGTGAGACAGACACAGTTTAGGCTGCAGAGCTACAAACTCATTAGGGGACAGTTAGGTGATGTCAATGAGTGAAACAGGTTTGGTGGGTGCCGGGGAGGGGAGCGGCAGAGTGCAGGGTCCTCAGCTATAGCCCCTACTGCCTCTCAGGCCTATTGTGGCCAGAGCATAGATTTCCCAAGTAGTTAAAATCCTGACTTGCATGTGAAAGCTCTCATATTAGCAAGCAAGCCCAAAGCAATTTAAATCACGGTGTGAGTCAAACTAAATACATCTACAGGCTGGAACTGGTCTGTAGCAGGCCACCTCAAGAATCGGAAGCCGTCATGAAGCACACCAGCCACTCCCAGGTGGAGTCAGACTGTGGCAGTGCTGAGAAGCAGGCGAGGGGACTGCTGGTGCTGCTGGTCGGCTAGAGAGAGGTGCGTGGTTTTGGGCAGGGAACGCAGGCTGCACTGGCTCACGTTGTCTGTGGCACTGGTGTCACCTAGTGGACTTTTCAGGAGGTGCCCTACGTTTAGACCTTCAAGTTGAGTCCTGCAGAGGCCAGAAGGTGGGGGTAGGACCAGGGTGACAAGTAAAAGCCAGAGGCAAAGCAAATCAGATGAAATGGAAGTGTGTTTTGGATAAGCTTGCACTCAAAGCTGCAGTGGGATACCGAGGTAGGGTCAGAGGGAAATCAGCCGGGCTCTGTCTCGCTGTTTTCTTAGGCCGCCCAGTCCTGCTGGACTAAGTCTGTGGTCAGAGCTGATAGATTCTGCCCCTCCATTCCGGGAGAGGCCCCCAGAGCCCAGAGCCCAAAGGCCGGCCCGGAGTGGGAAATATAAAAGTTATGAGTGGAGTCATCATCTTGGAACCTCCAGCCTCATTTCTGTAAGCCTCAGGAGAAATTAGGCAGGTGGGAATCCCAAATCAGTGTTTGTGCTGAGTTTATCCTGTTTCGTGAGGGTAACATCTGTGTTTATAGTGTTAAAATCCATTATCTTGTGTGTGCTTGTCAAGTTATTTTAATATTTTTTTCTTCAATTTTAAGATCACTTTTCATCCCTCTATTCTTAGAAAAGGTCAAACTTTGTTTCTACGGTTTACAAACCATGCTGTATCTTAGCAGAAGTGTCTTACTAAAGCCTATTTGCTTGAGGACACCTGTCCCAGATCCTCAGAAAGCACCCCTCCCATGTTGGGCAACACCTTGCTCAGCAGGCATTAGCACTTGGGGTTATGCCTCTGTGCAGTCTCGTGGGCCTGGGTTTTGTCTCCCCGTGGAAAGTTTCTTAAACCAGGGGGCATAAGTTTTGGTTTCGGTTTTTCCTTGAGGCCCCACGTAGGCATTGCACACATGCTTTAGCTATGGACGCTCAGCTTTCCTTTCCTAGACACTGAACCCTCAAGCCCAGTCACCAGTATTTTTCTATCATTGTTACTGCTGTAAGATCAGGGCGGCAATAATCTTGTGTAATAATCAGCTTGGAATACTTGCTTCATGACAGTATGTTGAGACTATTACTAAGCCAAATGAAACGTTTTGTTTTGGTGTTAGCTCTGTGTACTGAACAAAAAGTTCCAGATCTCTGGAAAATTGTTAGAAATACAAACACTCAGTAGAACACAAACAAAAGACCTTGGGTTTCTAGGTCTTCACTCCGTTGCTGATTTCCACTTTCAGAAGGGGCACTTTGGTCTCAAATTTGAGACTGTGCACTTGTAAGATGAAATGGGTCTGAGCGCGCTTGTAAAGGGGCCGTTAGGTGTATCACGAGCCCACTGTGGGGAGGGGAGTGCCTGCTTTGTCTGTTCTTCCCACCAGTGAACATCCACAGCCCTGAATGGGAGGCACCCCTGGTGTCAGGACGGCATCTGAAAGGCGTGTAGTGTTATTAACAGGCACAGCCCCAATACTGCAGGGCAAGCCGACGGGGGAGGAGGCAGAGGGGTCGCGCAGAGGGAATTCCGAAGATGGGTAAGAGTGACAACCTGGGAAACTTCCTGGAGGCCCAGCAGACTCCACTAGGCAGAAACTCCCCAAAAAACTTATCCCTGCTTGTCTGCAAGAACAGTGATGTAAGTAGGGGACGGAGACAGAGGGGAACTTTTAGAGTCCTTGTAGGATTAAAAATCCTATTAGGTGTGGTTATTTGAGATGAACAGGGACTGTCTTAACCCAGCTGTTCCCAGTAAGCAGCACTGATCTTACTGCTGACAGCTCGATCATTATTAAGCTGGAAAACAGCTTTCAGTGACTGAGAGAACTACAGAGAAAAGTTTTTAGAGTAACATCAAAATGGTGATTAAGCCACTGCCTTTTGCATTACCCATCCTCCTGGAAAGGAAGCTGGTCTGAGGACTTGAGGTTCAGGAGCTGCTGGGACCAGGGCCTGGCAATTCACCCCCTTCCCCGCCTCTCCACCAAGGGCAGGGAGGGATACAGAGGTCAGGAGTCAGATGGGAACCAGGAGTGCTGCAGGGGTGGGGCTCTCAGGGAACCCCCAGATGTGGAGATAGCACCAAGGCCTGCTGGCACCTCCCAAGACAGAAAACGCTCACACACAGCCAAGAGCGAGTAGCTGGCAATAACTGGGACCAGCATCATGATACAGTGACTTACACTCCTCATGAAGGTGGGCTGAGGCTTCTAGTTTATAAAATGGTAGCATGGGTAACAAAAGGGAGAACAAAATGTCATCAATTACTTGGATTTGATAGCACAGATGCACATGTAGGTTACCTTCCAGGTTAGGATTTGTATTCTACATCACTACCGATTGTTGCCAATGGAGTTCTGACACGAGGAAGGTGTATTCCTTTGTGGGAAGTTCTGGTTTATAAATAAGTCAAAATGGCCAGAGGATTTAGGTCAAGGTGAGTTTATTGTCCAAATAGCATTACCTAATCGCATCCAAAACCATTTCCAAATCCATCTTTAAGCTAGTCAGAACAACAGGTTACTATTTCTTAAAATCACTTAACACCGAACAGATAGGACCTCTTCAAAGGCAGCTGACTATACCATGTCACCATCATAACCAATAAAACATTTTCCAAGCTTCCTAAAAACCTTTTCATACTGATCATGCTACTTTAGCACTTGCTAGCATCCCGACCAAATAAACACCCACACCTCTTATAGAGTACATTGTGAGAGAATTACATTGACTCGATATGGCATCACACTCGTTTAAAGCAAAAAAAAAGTTATAATAATAATAAAAGAAGTCCAAGACAAGAAACTGTAACTGAGAGAGAGATCTGAGGTACATGATACAAGGGTAATGAACATAATGGAAAAAATCCAATGGCCCGGTGGTTTGCTGGTGATTTAAGAGTTGGCCAGCAATAAGAACTGAAACCCATTTAAAAAAAAAAAACCAACAACAAAAAGAAAACCCAAAAAACCCACCTTTTTTTTTTTTTTTTTTTTAAAGGACAGGCACCTGTTAAAATACATTGGATACTATAATGGCTACACTCAGTAAGGCACTTTTTTCCCCAAAGTAGGCTGCAGGCAAAGGAATAAATGATGCGGCTACAGCATGCATGGATACATTTGCTGATGGCTTCTTGGAACCTGAGCCAAGAATCGGATCTGATAGCCCAGCCAAGCCTAAAGTAGAGACACACAAACGTAGGAGAATAGTTCTGAGAAATGTAGGCTGAATGATGTTCTGGGTTTAGAGTCTAGAATCATGAAAAGCCACATGGCGTGAGGAAGTTATTAACATCCTCGAGTCTTCCTGCCCTATTTTGTACAAATGGACAAATGGCATGAGCGGCTCTTGAAAACTGGTCCAAGCCCACACCAGTAGAAGCCTGCACTCATTCTATAGCTAGTTTGTTGGCTTAAGGGGACTTTACTGTCTCAGCATTAATTTCCCTTTTAAAGCTATTCTCAGGGTTGGACTGTCTCAAAGATAAACAAAAGGAATCCTTTTGGCTTAGAAGCCCACTGGCTTACTCAGACTTCCTCCCCATCCCTACCTCCCATTCCCACACTACCCATATCATCTTCTTGAACTAGAAAATCATTATTTACATGACATAAGGTGCAAGTCTATTTCTTCTCCCAGCCCTGCCCCCTTAGGCCCATGGAGAGAAAATTCCCCTGCCCTCTTTCAGAAGTCATCCAATCCTGCCTAATATTCTTAACCTGTCCGTCCCAGAGCTCCCAGGGCAGTGTGGAGAGGCCCTAAAGGGGCTGGACTGCAGGAAAGCCAAAGCTCCCTCAGAAGCAAAGCCCACCCTGCTAGCGAGGGCTTTGCAGTCAGGGTAATGCAGTCAGGGTTGCTTCCTCCCCCGGCCATGCCACTTAAGCCCCTGCGGGTTTCCGAGCCATGCGTGCCCCTGGTCAAGATGATAGGAGGCAGAACTGAGCCTCTTGTACAAAGCACAATAGACCAAGGAGGACCTGGCTGGAAGACGTGGGGAGCCCTTCTGCGGGGTCCTGGGGCAGTTCCAGCATAGACTCCTCTAAGAGCAGCCTGTTCTCTGAGGAGCTGCTCCCTCAGTACGTGGGACACCTTCTGCTGGGGGATCCATCCCCTGCTTCCACCTACAGGCTTCTTAGCTGATATGAACCCGCACAGAATTAAATTATGCTTAGCATATATTTTTGGCATACTAGGATTTTCCCCACTAGGATTTGGCCAAAATAGGGGAAGGAACAAAATTTGGCAGGCTAGGGGACCAACTTAGGCCCCACTGATGGAGAAAAACAAAAACAGAGAGGAGGAAGTAGAGATTTTTTTGTTGTTGTTTAAAGGTAGAAAAAGATCAGAACAGGTTTGGAACCCCTTGAGCAGGAAGTGAAAAAAAAATAAATCACGAGAACTGAGCTTCTCCAAGACAAAATCTCCTACCGAGGAAACCAAGATCCAAGGAGAGGGTATCGGCCACTTAAACAATCAGAGTTCCTTCTTTTGTTTAAAGGAGAGGAAAGTCAGGAAAAGCCAGACAACCTAGCACCTTCCCCATCAGCAGCCTCACACCTAGCACACGAGGCTGCAGGACAGGAACTAGAAAAGGCTAGAAGGCCCCGGTGGCATCCGGGGGCTTCAGGAGAAGTGGAAAGCTACAGGCTGCCGGGAGCCTGTTGGCCTGTTTCCTTCCTTGTCAGGTTCTCTCACCTGCTGCTTCTCCCATCTGAGCTTAAGGGCTGGTGGGTCACTATGGAATAATTTGTACCTCAATTTGTCTTTAGGCTCCAAGACACCCAAGAGCTCTGGGGACCACACCTCCTTCTGTTCTAGGGAACCCCTCAGGGCCCAGAAGAGTGTCCCGTGCAAAGTGGGCTCTTGATAAAAGACCGCCTGCTCAGCCTTCCTCTCCAGAACTTCAGCATTCACCACCCGGTACCCCACCAGAAACTCCCTAGAATTTAGGGTTATACTATCTCACCAAATCCTGAACCCTCCTAAACACCCTCTGGAAAGCAGCAGCCTCACCATCTCCCTTCAACTACCATCCAGTAATCATCTGACCTATTTTTTCCAATCATGCCAATTCAATGCGATTTAAGCCTAGAAAACACTGAGTGCTGCTTAGCCAATGACCTGGCCTTGCCGCCCCCGTCAGAGACAAGTGGGGGAACACATCCCCGCAGCACTGCGCGCTGCAGACTCAGACCTAGAAAAACCTCTGTCATCACTGTGAACTGGGGATGCTGGCGTCAGGGAAGGACAGAAAGGGAAAGGTCCTTGCAAGATGAGAGGACCCTAGCGACGAAAGCCCTGCTTTGGAAAGGGCTGTAAGATGAGGGTCTCCAAGTAGCCTGCTGGAATTCTCAGCCTGTCTCCTGATACCTAAGTACAGTAACTTCTTGCCCACTGCGTAAATGTCTGTGCTGAATGTCTGCTGCGGGGGGAGGGAAATCCCTTGGTTCAATTGTATTTTTTCCATCATGAGGAGGATACCAGAGTCAAAATGGAAGCCCGATGACCTTCACGACTGAAAAGGTCCCTGGGTGTGAGACCCGGGGCCAAACCCACTCGCCTGCCAGGGGGGAGGCCTGCAGCCTCGCCCCGCCCTCTTCCCCCGCACTCACGGGCTCCCACACAGAAACTGTATGGCTGTGAGGTATTATGAAAACAAAACTGTGAATCGCTTTCTTTTGTAGCTACTGATTTTGTCCAGTAAACCTGAGGTAAAGAACACTCTGTCTTATAAGAATGTGATCAGAGAGAGAAAAAAAAAAAACCGAAAAGGAAAAAAAAACAACCAACTGTGAATACGCTACTAGAAGAAAAGCTATGGAAGGGCTTTTCCAGTACAAGGAACTCTTATCTTAACCATCTACTTTGGGACTTGGAGTTTAAGCAGTAAAATAATATATTATAAAAATGTTTATAAAATAGCAGCACACTGTGAAAAACATTACAGCTAGGTACTGTTAATGTGAATAAGGATGGATGATTTTAGCTTCTTAGCAGCGCAAAAAAAAAAATAATAAAAAAATGAACAATAAAATGAAAGAGAGACCCTTAGATTTTTCACCATCTTCAACCCCTCATACTATGAAACAAGGCAGAATCTGTGTATAATTCTTCAAAGCAGCCCTGTTCTGATTTTTCTTCTTACTTAAAACAGGCAAATATTTTAACAAATAGCTTCATCACCTGTCAATTATAATTGTGCAACAAAAAAAAAACCCAAAACAAAACAAAACAAAAACCCCAAAACTTGTTGCTCCAACCTCTTTGCTAACTGAATGTGTTTAAGAAGTGGAGAGGAAAAACTTCAAGTACACTGAATACAACTTTGCAATGAAATTAACAAAAAACGGAAAAGGGAACACAATGTCACACTGATGTTTAGCTGTCTGTCTTTGCACCAGCAATAACTTTTCTTTCCATGTCCAAAGGGGAAGTATATAGGTGGGAATTAAGATCCTTACATGCCATCAAAATGGTAACAGATCTTTGTTTTCAGGCTTTTCTGAGGAATGTTGTGATGGGAATGTCAGCGGAAAGGGTTGTGTCTCTTCAGTCCTAGTAGGGACACCAGAACTATGTACCAGAGGATGTCAGAATCCAGAAGCGAACAATACCAAGACTGGCGGGGGAGGGCACCAAAGAAGGGAGGAGTCTGTTCAGCATAATTTGCATAAACCATCCCATCTATCCCTCAGGAACAAGTTTTTCAAAGTGCTTTGCGAATGGAATGGTTTATAACAACACTAAACTGTGGACCAGACATGCCAATCAGCACCAAAAATTAGTTTTCTCCTAATAAGGGATGCCAAGGTCACATTACTCTCTTTATGCATTGAACGATTCCACTCCAGATCCCACCCACCCCTGGTCTCCATCTGCCTTCATTTCATATGAGTTTTGGTAATGGCCCAGAGCCACACTGCCCCTTTAGACAAAATATGGTGATGGGTGCAATGAACCATGTTTGGAAGGAGAAGCAAGATGTCAAAAAACGTAAAACCCAGGATCTAATCACCTGTGTCCAACTGAAAAGTAAAACATCTTTTTTAGGTAGCAGCTACTGTAGACAGCAAGAGTTCCCAACTAGAGATCCAGCAATGCTCCTGACTTGTAACAGGTGGTCGAGACCAAAAGTGCTTCTACATCCAAATTGGTTCAGTCACGTTGAGAGACTGCTGCCTCCTCCCTCCCCACCATGTCCCTCCTTGTTTCTAATTCCTTCTCGAGCTCATGGCTTTGCAATCTAATCACGCCATAAATGGCATATGCAGTTCCTTGAAATTATCCTAGTAGAGGTGTATCATGTGCTAGTTTATAACATGAAAAAAAAAAGCCTCCTCTAATTCGTCCCATATTGCAGGCATACATTTTCTCTAGCTACTCTGCAGTTTTCCTATAAGCATTTTACTATTACTTTTAACATAACCAAACAATAACTGTTCGAATACACAAGGGATTCTCTTCTGTTGTACTTCAAATAGGCACCAAATGCTTTTAATCATTCTGGTTATATAGGACCTTTTTCTCTCACTTCTAAAAGACTTTTCAATGATCTAGATGGGGGCAGAATTTTTTTTTTTTAAGTTTCATCCTAAAACATAGAGCAAAACAACCAGAGAGAAGGAGAGAGCAGATGTGAACACGTCTCTCCCATGCGGCCCGACTGACATCCTCACAGGTCAATATCCCGCACGTCTGTAGGGGTGCTGGCTTGGTCCAGTTCATCCTCCGACTTGGATCCTTCCCCCTGCGCCTGCTGGAACTGCTGCAGGCTGCTGAGCAGCACCTCCTCAATCTGCTCCTGGCAGGCTTTGAGGCAATCCTGGAAGGAGAAGGGGCCAGGACAGAGCTGTTAGCAACGTCAACAGGGCACAGAGCATTTGATGAAGACAACACACACAGTTCAAGCCTCCCATCATTCCATGCTAGTTTTCTAGTAGAAATTAATCTAAAGTAAAGAGATGGGTTTCATGAGGTGCCGTGGAACCTCATTACTCCAAGTCCATGCTGCAGCGCCACCTGGGAGCCTGTTAGAAATGCAGACTCTCAGGTGATGCGTATGCACAGGAGCATCTGAGAAGCACTGGCCTACATGCTGAGCCACAGATGGGCATGCAGTGCCCGGTAACCTAAGGGCCACACGATGCTTTCTGCTTGGAGAAGTTGGGGGGTGACAGAGAAAAGGGGAAGGCCAGCACTGCAGACAGCACTGGAGTACTAGACAAACAGCACCCGAGGGATAGGAAAAGAATGGGCCCAACTGTACTGGCTCTCACATGCACTGTGCAAGTGCTTAAAAACAAAAATTCTGTTGTTCTGCTTACTTACCATTCCCTTAACTCTCATAAAAATACAACACGGAATGTTTACAAAATTCTGGACACTTGTGCTGTCCAATTTGGATATAAGCAAGAATTTGCAGGATTGCTCTGATATTAGTCTATATTTGGTAGGGAAAATTCCAAATGTCTGCCCCAGACAGAAGCTTCTGTTAGCTGGCTGACGTGGAATGCAATGGCAAGTCATGGTGTCTGTCACTTGGGAGAGACTGGCTCCTACTAACAAGTAGGGAGTGAGCTGAAGAACTTGTTTAGTGGACATTTCCAACCCCTGTGCTGTGAGGCTGCTTTTCTGCACTTTCTTCAGCAGCATATCATATACATACAGAAAACGTTAAAAAAAAATTTTTAAATATGTCTATTGATTTCAGAGAGAGGAAGGGAGAGGGGGAGAGAGATAGAAACATCAATGATGAGAGAGTTGCTGATCGGCCGTCTTCTGCACACTTACTGAGGATTGAGCCTGAAACCCGGGCATGTACCCTGACTGGAAATCAAACTATGATCTCTTGGATCACAGGCCAACACTCAACCACTGAGTCACACAGGCCAGGCTGTTAAATTGAATCTGCCTGGTTCTTTCCGGTTTCATATATGCTTCCCATTTGTCTGTTTCCACTGTGAGATTTTTCACTGAACAGAGGTGGCTGTTTGCCAAGCATATAGGGGTTACCTTTACATTCCAAAATAAAGTTGGCAGTTTACTTGGGAACAAAATTTCCATCCCCCTCTCTCTCATCCACTCCACATTTCAAACTTTTTATTAAAATTAAGAGTAGGAACAACTGCAGATAAGTGCTAAGGGCAGAGATGAAATATCACGCAGAATGTAAGGAGAACAGAAAGAAGGGTGGGTATTTGCTGTCCTCCCACCACACTTTCAGGCCGCAGCTAAGTTATTTAACTTCTCTGATCTCAGCTCCCCACTTGTACAATAAGAATAATGAAACCCTCATAGAGTAAAGATCAACTGAGATGCTATGTATGAAGAGCTAAGTGGCAGTTCAATAAATGATAATTATTAATTATGAATAACAATAGATAATCAGCCCAGGAGTCTGAAAGAATGCTTTAGACTTCCTTAAAATGAGTTATGTATTAGCAATTGCTGAAGATTGGTGAATGGGGCACTGTGACTGGCACTGAGGACTGAATGTCAACCAAGACACACATAACCCAGCTGCAGAAGTCCCCATCCCACCCTGAATAAGCTGGAGTCAAGGACTAGACACCAAGAGACTTACTGATATCCCTCAAGTTTCCTGTGGCTTCTCCTGGTCACACCCTCTACCCTAACCGCCCTCACCAGTGATTAGCAAGCTGGTGGGCCTCCCTGCTTGGATCTTCTCCGTTCTCCCCTCCAAGGCCACAGGACAGTCTGAGGTTCCTAAGTCACTCACCACTTTTCAAAAGGTCTAGGTGGTGAAAGCTAAGGCCATCATATTTCTAAGGACACTGGCATTTTAGAAAGAGACAATTGAAAACCTTAAAACCTTACAATCTAAGTAATAATAACAAAAAAAATAATAATATAAAAGTCAAAGTTAATGTGGGGACTAACACATAAGGCAAAACAATACATGGTGAGTCAAAACTAGTCTTGCCCTGGCCAGTGTGGCTCAGTAGTTGGAGTGTCCGCCCATGAACTGAAGGGTCTTGGGTTCGGTTCCCAGACAAGGGCATATACCTGGGTTGCAGGTTCAATCCCCAGCCCCAATCAGGGCGTGTGCGGGAGGCAACCAATTGATGTGTCTCTCTCACATTGATGTTTCTCTCTCTCTCTCTCCCCCCTCCCTTCCACTCTAAGANCTCTCACATTGATGTTTCTCTCTCTCTCTCCCCCCCCTCCCTTCCACTCTAAG